ATCAGTCTAGTGAGCCAGAAAAAAGGAATGAAAAAGGGTGGAGAGTAGATGTGAAAGCTCAACAAAGATATCGAAAACATTGAACTGTCTGCATAGTTGTGAGAAATGATGAGACCATATGTGTAAATATGCCTTGTAAACCATAAACTGAAGTAAATAAATATATCCATTATTTAATGTTATTTGAATGCTTAATAAATAATTGTTAATTCATTCTATCAGAGTGGAATATTTTCACAAAACATACAGTTCAGCAACTTGTCCAGCTATAGAACCAAATTTAAGTTCTAGTTCTATTATATTTCCCATGGTTCAAAATATCTAAATTATTATTTTTTTAAGATTTTATTTATTTATTTTATAGAGGGAGAGGGAAGGAGAAAGAGAAGGAGAGTGTGTGGTTGCCTTTCAAGTGTCCCCCACTGGGACACGGCTGCAACCCAGGCACATGCCCTGACCAGGAATCGAACTGGTGACCCCTTGGTTTGAAGGCCAGCACTCAACTTACTGAGCCACACCAGCCAGGGCTAAATTATTATTTTTTAATTGCTGACATAAGTAGGCTTACAGTTAATTTAAAAAATCACACCAAAACAAGAATTGCATTTGTCCTGAAAATACATTAATTCTTTTCAAGTCCTCTCCACCTACTTTAACAATCCTTTAACTGTGCTCAAATAACAAGCAAACACATTCATCGAAAACTCACTTATAAAGAAAAGTAAATGAAATGACTCAGAATTTTATACTTAGAATAAATTGAAGGACATTTAGTCCTTCATGTCCTACCTGCAAATGACAGAAGTGAAGCTCAGGCATATAAAGTCACTTTTGTCTAGGGTCATGGAATTCTGAGATGGGACTAAGTGTGAACACATACAATCCTGCATGGGGCTTTTTTCCATTACTCCATCCTCATTCAGCTGCACACAATGAAGAGCACTAATTTACTTAGGAACTGGAGATTGTTATTATTGATTTTTTTCAGTGTTTTTATTTTCTGAACTTTTGTTATATTAGAATATGAGAGTGGTGTGCTGCCACAAACATTGACCCCAGAAATAGTTCATCTTACTTGAAAGTCAAGATAAGGATTATGCTCATCATGTGCTTTCTAATATTAAATTTTCAGACAAAGATGATCATCCCATGAGGATGAGGACGCAAATCTTGCTCAAGCCTGTAAAAAATTAAATACATTTAACCAACTCATTATCAAACATTCATCCATTCAATAAACATTTATTCAAATCTTATTAAATCAGTGGTAATAGAACAGTAAATAAGATATAACCTCTGACCTGAAATGGTTTATAGTCTAGTAGACAGGGCAAAGGAGAAAACTGATAACACCGCAGGATACATTTGATCTTAGGGTAAACATTAGGTAGTGTGAAAACACTTAATATACACCACTCTATTCTCAACGTCTTGCCTGTATTAGCTCAATTAATTGTCTCCCACATCTGAGAGACAGGTATTATTTTCCTCATACTTACAATAATGTAATGGAAACCCAAATACAGTAAATTTATCAAGGTGTATGTAGTTATATGGTGATAAAATCAAGGCTTAACGACACTGAAAAATCCAAGCTCCATATTACTTCTATGCAATCAAAGGATTTTTTTAATACTATTATTATATTATATTATGTCACTCACAAGATTCTAGAAAACACGGTTGTTTGTGAGCATGGGCCATGCTAGGCTTTCTTCCTCGTAGACTTTACCCCTCAGAGAAAAGAACCATATTTATGTTTCTGGGGCTTACCCACAGTATCCAGCATCATGTTTTGGAAGTAATTGCTTTAGAAAAAAATTAAAGAGTTACTTCTCTCTATAAAGCTGTATATAAAGAAAATGTATAAATAATATCAACTATAAAGAATTAGACAAACACACTGAGCAAAATTTTACAAATATATTTTGTAAGAGCAAAATGTAGGCTCTTATAGTAACTTAGGATGAGCTCAGTGCTCAAAGAATAATCCTGTTCTATTGTTAAATCAGATGGGATGTCTAATTAAGCTAAGCACAGATTTTTCTTTCTCTTTTCCTCCCCCAGAAACCCATTCAATTTTTAAAATATTCAAAATTCCTAAACGAAACAATTTTAATCATCTATCTGTAAGTTGGTAGCACTATAGAAAATTGACAGCCTGGCATCAGAGTTAAACACCCTTTTAATTCTTTCTCCTAATTTGTATCATTAACGTATCTTAGTCTGTCAAAGTAATCAAAGCCATCAGTGGGGGAGAAAAGGTGACTTGTACGTACGAGTATCATGTATTTATTAATATGATTATTTAAAACATATAGGTAGAGAGAGTTTATTTGTAATGAATACAATTGCTGACCATGTATATATTAGCATCATTACACCATGGCAAAGGTTTCGTGCTCAGGTAAGCAAGCTGTAACTGGCACCCAGAAACGTAATACAGCACTGAGTAATGTGTGTTCAGGCACTATGAGGGCATGCATGTGTGGCCTTTGTGTATAGCATCAGCAAGCTAGTGAAATCAAATCACAGCATCAAAGCATCTGGGAAAACATCTTATTTTATTATTCTCCAGTCAGAATAGTACGAGACCTTGTGGGCACATTATCTAGAAGAGATGAACAACTTTCATCCTGAGCATGCATACACCTTAATTTTGACATGAAATGTTTTTCTCTTACGTAGTGTCTTTCTTAGCTCATTACCTTCCAGAAGCTACTATTTGGGGCTGTTGAAGAGGCCATCTCTGTAGCACCAGGTGGAGGACTGAGAACATCTTCTGGCCTTTCAATCCCCAGCTTCTCGTGGCACATGTGGGATTTTATGCCACTGCTGCAAATCTTCCAATGTGCCAGACTGAGTTTGGTCAGTGCCAGTATCTAGATGTAAAACCAATTTAAAGAAACTAACATTTGTTTTAGGGTCTCTAGTACAGACTTTCTTTTCCTCTTCCTCTTGTCCATTGCCTGATTCCCAGCAAAAGAAAATTATACATATGCCTGTATATATATATGTGTGAACTTCACATATGAAAATACATATTCCTATGCACAGATGAGAAACACACACTTACCCATTTAGAATTCCCTAGGAAGAAAAGCACAACTTAATAGAATGCAGTGTTTTATTTTTAGTTTTGAGAAAGTATTCATTAAGGGTAAAACAGGAAAGACGATCAAAGCACATGAAAGCGAAACTGTATTCTTTGTACTTTCCTTGTTGTCTTGACTGAAATTTAGTCCTCTTCACCTCTTGCCCCACTGGATTCACTAACCTCCAATTTTCTTCTCCCTATAGTGCTAAACTCAAAAATGTGCCTAGAAACCAAATAACAGGGTTGCCTGTGACTTATGTATGTTTGGAATAGGAATTACCACCTCAGTTTTCTCAGGTAGTACTTCCGATACTTTTGAATGATTTTTTTCACCCTCAGGGAAAGGGGATCTTTTTTTTTACCCCTCCCCCCTTTTCATTATCAATTTAAAAGCTGCCTAAAATAGGCACTATGAAAAAACACCGGGTGCCAGTCCCTCTCCCTCTCAGCCACGAGCCCCGGAAGGGACTGTCATCACGAGTGCTCCAGCCATATATGTAACAGCACGTTATTTCCCTGCATTTGTTTGCTGCACTGAAATCCTAAACTCTGCTCAAGTCCAGCCTTCTGTAGAGACAGGACAGTGCGGTGCTGCAGAAATAACAGGTTTTCCTAAAAGCATGTGTCGCAAAGCAAAGCTATGAGATTTCCTCGGTCAGCCAAAGCACGAAAACTTGAAGTCAAAAATGCCCTGCTCAGCGATCTAGTCAATGGGGCTAAAGCGCAAAACTCCCCCAAGAGTTGTTTTCGGTGATCTCCCACATGATTTTCTAAGTAGAGATGCGTATCTTGTGATCTGGTATCCTTTTCTCTCTTCCATGTCTGTTCCGTGTACCATCATTACTTATATATGTGTTTTCTGTAATTAAAACCTCTGTAAGTTCTAGCATCTGGAGCCTCTGCTATAACCTGTTTCTTTCCTTTTCCTTTCTGAGCACCCCTCCACCCCGCGCTCCAGGCCCGGGTTTGTGGGGAGGAGCTCCGCAGTTCGCCCAGTCCGCTTGCCCGCCGCCGGGGCTCTGCAGGCCCGAGCCCTGGGCTCCGAGTCTCCTTTCTAAACTCCTGAGCGCTGCTGGGTGGAAAATAAAGAATGTTTTCAATTAATTTTAAAGATCAGAAAAATGACAATGCAAGACATTCAGAAGGTAACTAAATAGGCAATGTGTGGCAGTATAAACATATATATGATGCAAGATATTTAATTAAAATAGCCAAAACCATTTAAAGATCCTCAGTTTCCATCAGGAAGAAGCAGGTGATTTAACTAGGCAGCATAAAACATTACACTTAAATGGGAGTGTGTGTGTGTGTGTGTATAAGATTTTTTTATTTTGTGGCTATGCCACTAACAGTCTAAAACTAAAAATAAGCAAACAAATAAAAGAACAAGTAAATCAATAATTTCAAATAAAAAACAAGGACAAGTTATCTAGCCAAACAAATTCAGTACAGACTTCCATGTCCTTTAAATTTATTATTTTTCCTTTACCTTCAACAGCCCTTAAAGGATTTATAGGAGCAAGAATTTTTTCACTAGTAAGCATTGCAAAATTAAATTAAGAAAAATCAATTAATAGTATATAAGCTCTGAAATCAGGGGTAACAGTAAGAAAGGACTACAACAATGTATTACTCAGGTAATTTTTAAAACAACAAGGATGTATAAATCCATTTAAAACAAACACTTCTATATTTTATGTAACCGATTTCGTTGGAAGTCCTGGAGGTTCAGCAGTGCACAAAATAGACAAAGCCATGCTCACCTCACACATCAAGTACCTGACTAATTCTACATTAGAAGCGAGGACATCATTTCTTATAAATTATTTAAATCTTAAATCATCTAGTTTATTATCTTAGTCATTGGAGGTACTCAAAATTTTGTCTTAAAAATAAATCAACTGTGCTCACTTTGGCGGCACATGTACTAAAATTGGAAATGATACAGAGAAGATTAGCATGGCCCCTGCCTAAGGACAACAAAAAATAAAAAATAGATAAATAAAAATAAATCAACTAAGGCCTTTGACAAAGAGATGCTTGCTTGTAAAAAGCAGTATGCCTGCATGTAAAATGGACAGCCAAATTTTTTTTCAATGCATACTTAGTTATAAAGAAAAATTATATTCGAGCTTATGTTGTAATATTAATTATATAATATTTTGATAGTACATTTCTAGAGGTACAATACTTTGCTTACTCCTTTGTCTACAATTTAACTTAAATATTTATAATAATATACACATAAATGATAACATTTTACTTTTACCAGAAATCTAATATTGAAGTTTTTTATATAAAGTGGAAAATTTTGCCCATGTGACTCATACATTGAGCCTGTGACTCTAATGCCTTTAACAAGACAGCCTAATGGCCCATTATTGTTTTTAACATGCCACCTTAAAGTAACCTTTCGGCAAATTTTCTGACATATTTTATCTCAGCCTCCATTTATTTCATTTATATTGACCCTGGTCCCTTTAAAATAGCTGGTTTTTGAGAAACACTGGTTTAAGCACAGCATTTCTGCAAAGACTTTAGGATTGTTCCAGTAATTCCACATTGAGGCTGCTTAGTTTTATGGGTAGCAATCTGCTCTTCTTTTGGAATCTGTCAGGATCAGAAAAATACACATTAATCACTTACTATAGGAGCCTGTACTGCTCCCAATGTCCCCTATTTCAAAGCACAATTGGACACTTATCAGAAATTACCCACATCCACACAAAGGAGGAGTTGGCTGTGTAGTGTTAACCAAGGACTGCACCTCCTTGTCAGATGGTGTTCTTAGAGACCCCACAGGGTTGCCGTATATTTGTTCTTTGTTTATTGATGTACCGTAGGGACTGTTTTCACTTACAGACTGAATCTAAACCCTGAATCGGCTCCAAAAAAGCAATGCAGCTTTTAAAGAGCATTTGGGTCAGCAGCATCACCACCTGCAAAAGACTTCCTTAGACTGATTAGGCCCAGTAGTGGAGGAGCCAGGAAGATCATGGCTCGAAACTGGACAAGTAGTATTGTGGGGATTCAGAGAGACACGGTTATTCCTTCAAAGATGTGAAAATTCCTTTTTGACTGTTTGACATTTGTGTGAAAACGTGTGGTCCCAGGAAATCATTAAACAGAAGACTTCTGGAGTAATTTTCACCAACTGAATATCTTTACCTTGCCGTCACCTTTGAGACTCATCTTCTCTAACAGTCTGGCCTAGGCTCATAGCTTTTTCATTCCTTTTTCCATCCCTAGCAGATAGGATTGTCGATCAGGGAAAAACTCTTCCATATTGCTCTTGGAAATGTAAAACCAGAGCCAGCTATTAATGCAAATTACTACTTCTCGAAAATATATAACTGAATCGCTCTTTTTATCATTGATTGAGAGAGAGAGAAAGATATCTATTTGTTATTCCACTTATTTATGTGTTCATTGGTTGCTTCTTGTATGTGCCCTGATTAGGGATTAAATCTGCAACCTTGGCATATCTGGGTGACGCTATAACCAACAGAACTACCCAGCCAGGTAGTTTACTCTTTCTTAGTGTACAAGCCAAGCAAAACACCCAAGAGAAATACACATATTATTTATTGATCATAGATTACTCTCTCTCTAAAAATATGCAAATTTGATTGTTCAAACTTTAACATCCTGTCATCTGCAAGATTACTAGATTATTTATAGTATAACTTCATCCACATGTCCAGATAAGTATTTCAGTTTGAAAGAGAGAAAAGACAGAGACTTAACACACCTATTTATTTCATTCTATTCACATTTCATTTACACTTATTTTATTCTATTCAAATAAAGAATTTAAAACTGGAAAGTAAAGATTTAACATGCAGTAAAAATAAATTACACTATGAAGTAGTAATCAAGTGTCAAATTAAAATATTAAATTAAAAAGTCCTGACACATGAACATTATTGAAATGTGAATTCGTATTATCAAATATGTATCTAGGTAAAATTTTTTAAAAAGTTATATAAGACATTGCCATTTTGTGCTATTTAAAATTCTTTTGGATAACTTTTAAATATATATTTTAAAATTCTTGTTCTGTTGCAGTTGTCCCAATTTTCCCCCATTGCTCTCCCCTACCCCTCCCACCCCCTCCCACAGTCAATCCCAGCCCCGCTGTCCACGTTCACGGGTCATTTATACTTGCTCTTTTACTAAGCACTTCCCTTTCTTTCCTAAAAAGAAGCAAAGAGCACTTTGAATGTTGTATACAAGGAAGATATTCAACTTCAGTACATGCCAGGTTCTCAAAAATGTTATTGAATAAATGAATGAGTGAATAATTGAATAAATGAGAGAATGAATAAGTTAATTAAATATCAATAAGTAAAAACTAAATAAATAAGTAAGTGACAACATAGTTAAGGAAAGGTTGCTGTTATCTGGACTGAATGAAAAATCAAATATGGGACTTGAATGAAAGAAATCTGAAAAATAAATACAAAGAAGAGTGTGCTGTATTAGCATTCAACATGTGGAGGTGAGAGTAAGGAAAGCATTTTCCTCAACTGAGGTTAGGAAAATAGGGAAACATTTAAAAATATGTATATGATGTTTTGAAAGTGATGTTCAAGGGAAATTAATTTGGCAGAGTAAGAATATAAATTAGCAGAAACTTTGTATAATTTTATGAAACATATAAAAACACTTTTATTTGGGTACTTAATATTTGCTTTGCAATCCAAATTTAAAATTTATCTTAAGAAGACCACTGGACATATGAAAAATTATATTACTAGAGATATTCAAATTAATATTGTTTTTAATGGTTTAAAAATAGAAACAAAAATATAACAAACCAAAGAACTATAACAAAGCTACAGAATAAATAGATTAATTAATAAAATGTATAAATAATTTATCTATGTAAAAGGGTTAATACTGAATTTATTGGGGAAATAACAGTTATAGAAAGGGTTTATTATATAATTCACATATGAAAAATGCATTCATCTCTGGGTTGTTTACTTTTTCTGATATTTTTTATAACTGCAGTATGACTTTTTATGGCAGTCAATGATATCTTTGTTTAAATTTAATTTGCATCTGTAAGATTCTGTTATCATCAATCTATCTATCATCTATCCATCATCTATTATCTATCATCATCTATCTATCCTGCTGGTTTGAAGTTACTGAATTGTGCTTTAACCACAAGTTGTTCACCATTAAATGGAGCTATTAAGTGCTAGTTTGCAGGATTGTCATAGAGACCACATACAGAGAGCACCTAAGAGAGCCCCTAACCAGGTAAAGGGCTCTGGACCTATGAGTTCTCCCTCCAGGTATTCTGTTTATATGATGTTTTTTTTTAACTGCACTGAATAGTTTTTAGGAGTGAATACATCAAAATCTTTTTATCCCTGGTAGTGTGATGCCATGCCCTATGAGGGGGACCTCTCAAAAATGGAATTTATTTATAAAAATTGTGGATTTATTCTTATATGTTTACACTACAGTCACCTTCAAAGTACTCTCTACTTGATGAAAACAGCTATCAAGATTTTTTTCCACTACTCCAAACAGTTTTTGAACTCTTCAATTTTGATGTCTTTTATTGCTTCTGCCGTTTTTTGTTTCACCTTTTCCACATCAGCAAACCATTTTCCTCTGAGGATTCTTCTCATCTGGGAAAACAAACAAAAAAAAGTTCCTTGGGGCCAGTTTGGGTGAATAGGGAGGCTGGGGCATGGTGGTCATGCTGCTTTTGGTCAAAATCTGCTGAATATTCACTCAGCATGGTGTGGGCAGGTGCACTCATAAATCACCCATCATGAAATGGACAAAAACGTTGAAAGAGTCTTCCAAAAAAAAAAATTCACCAAAGCTGAACACAGCCTCTCACAACAATGCCAGCTGGTGCACTGGTACAGATGGGTCCCTAGATGACTCATCTGGTGGGTTGAGCTTGTAGTACAAGGGACCTGCTCTCCAAGGATAATTCTGTGTTTTTTAGGGTCCGTCCTTGTATGGCTAACAGTTGTTTAATAAATAATAGAGAGTATGAATAGAAATTCATTATAATGAAATTTTAAAACAACTTTAATATCATTTGGGGAGACATACATAAAATGTGGTATTTCTAGGAATACACACACTTTTCTCTTTCCAGATGTCTTTATCTCTCTAAGATAACAGGAAAACATTTGTTCGTACTGTGGGGAGCACACAGCAGTACGCCTGCACATTACGGATTTTGTAGTTGGTCACCTAATTCACTTGGTCAGGCAATAGTGAAAACTGCAGAAGAGGCAAGAACAAGGCTCACAAAATGACAGAAATCAGTGAAAGATGTTATGTAACCTATCAAATTTATGAAAATAGATTTTTTTTAAAGAAATATGATTCCTTAAATGGAGTTTTTCTTATTGATGAAACGAGAGCATTGGCTTTTCTAATTGACTAAACATTGCTTTCTTGGTCAAGATGAGAAGGTGGAGAAGGTGTTTTGGGGGAAATTGCTAAGGGGGCTTTGTTTGTTCGTTTGTTTCAGGTATTTCCTTTAAAGCAAGTAAGCAGACAAATAAGCAAGCCAAAAAATTCCTGAGAGCAGTGAAAAAGAGATTTGTCTACTGAATTTCTTTTTAATTACACAACTGATAGAAGCCTTTAAGATCAAAGCAGACAACTGTAATCTTATAAATGTATTTTTTAAAGGAGGGTTAATACAAGGTAATACTCTGATCATAACAAGGTAAAAAAATGTTTTTCTATTTAGGCATTTACTTGGCATAATCAAAGGCATTTTACCTGGTTAAAATGGGCTGAGTAATAACTTTAGGGAACAAAACATGCTTTGTTGGAATGAATATGGGTATATTTGAAAGGAACAAAAAAACTTTGCTCCAATCATTAGTGAAACTAACTACAAACTAAATTGAAAAATAATTGCAAGGCCAGGCTTCCACATTTAATCAGGTAGTAGCTATCAGGGTCTCAGCTAACAGGCTCTAAATGAATTCTCTAACATTATTAGTAATTGTAGCATAAC